AATTTCAGCTCAAATATGAAGATCACAAATATATATATATATATATATGAATATTTGTGTATATGACAAAAAAAACAGAAAGAGATGTGTTTTGTGGAATCTGTGATTGTGTGTGTGCCGGTGTTGGTTAGGGTTGGTGAGGTTGTTGTCTTCTTCACTGGTTCTCTTTCTTTTTTTCTTTTTCTTCTTCTTCTTCTTCTTCTTCTTCTTCTTCTTCTTCGTCTACAATTTTCTGGTGATTGAGGATTCTCTTCAGATGTAGAAAGGGGACTGTGCTAAAATGCGCCAACATTAATCAGCAAAAATGAAAGGTTGGAGAAACAACCTTGGTTTAAGTGAGAATTTATGGCTACGCCACGCTGATTTTTGTCGGTTTCGAGGCTTTTTTTTAGATATGTGTTTGTTTGTTTTGTGAGAGAGAAGAAGGAATAAGAATAGCAAGCTTTTGTAAATTTAAAGATGTGTAAGGGGTATTTTGGTCTTAAAATATAGCTTACTCTCTTTATGGGACTGTGAACCTCACCGCTTATTAATTTGGATGGAAAAGTGGACGGTACACTTTGGTCTATAAACCCACGTAGGGGTTATGTTGTGATTTTCCAATGTTAGGGAGGTAATCCGTACCCAGCACAAAACAATGGGGGGTAAAGCTTTACCCCTAAAATTTTAGAGAAAATAACTAATAATGGACCACATGAACATAATTTAGAAATATTAGAAGAAACATATTGCAAGATAAATTATATTTTTTTTACCCTCTAATAGTCAGTTAAATTTTGTTTTAGCCTATCTTGTTTCATCTTTCACTCAAATTTTATAGGATTATACTTCTCTCAAGTTCACATCTGAACTTAAAAAAACTTAAGGAGCTTATGTGACACACTACGGATCCCGTTTCGATAATTTAAATAGTTCATTTTATAAGACACTCAATGCATATTGTCCATAAAAATTTAATTCAATTCAATAACCACAACATTTTTAGTTTATCGCATTGGTCTCCAAAAAAATAAATAACAAATATATTTTTAAAAAGTCCATCAATTTTTTAGAGACAAACATGATGAAATGAAAATGTTACGATTATCAAATCGACCTAATTTTTTAATAAATGATATACCATGAAGACTTTACAAAATGAATAATTCGAATTATCAAAACATAACTCATGGTAGATCCCATAAGCCTCTCAAATTGAGATATGAACCTAAGATAAATCTAATCCAATTTTATATAATGGAATGACAAAAGAACTAGGGCTTTTGGCATGGTTATTGTGTAACAATCTTTGTAGCGTGAGATTTCGAGTTCAACTTTTATAGAAAAAAAATTTGATACCTTTTGTAATGGTGAGATCTTGTGTCCAACTCCTATGAAGAGGAGTTTTGTACTCTTTGCGATGGTGGTTTTATTTCTCTCCTATTTTGAGGTTTGTATGTACTTTGTCGTAGTGATTTATTTCTCCCATATTATAAGATTTATATGTAGTTGGTGGTGATTATTGGGCTTTATCAACTGTTTAGCTATAGTGAGCTATAAAGTAGGCTAACATTTGTTCATATATACTCAAATCTGAAACATTAGTCACCTTAGCACCTAAATGCTTTTTTCATGACCATTTGTGCAACCGCTCGGGTGAATTAGATGGTCTATTTAATGGTTTAAATATTTCTCATATTTATAATTTGATTAGAAAAAAAAAATGACAAAAGAATTACATTAAAATGCGAGCTGAAATCTTAGACTGTGTTTGGTATAGCGTTTCAATTACAATTCTATCTCTTCACGTGAACAAAGTGTTTGGATGAGATTTTCAAAAATTAATTCCACCACACATTTCAAAATACATTTCTGTTTCACGTTTGGTAGAACTCATTCCAAAACAAACTTTCAATGCAAAACTCTCACATTTTCATACAGTTTTTGAATTTTTTGAGTCTATGGAACATCCCTTCGGACATCCCTCCGGATGTCCAGCCGGTTAAGCACTATAGTGGTTTTTTTTTTTTTTTTTGGATAACTCTTTCATACATACATACATGTGTTTGTGCTATTGTAGACTAATTTTCTGTTAAAAGCGAATAAAAAATTTGAATAAAATTGAATTGTGTGTGTGGTAAACTGTGTAGATGCTACAAAATAATATTCTAATTTTTGTTTGACTTCTACATTTTGGCCATTTATTTGAAAATAACAATACAATAAATAACAAATAATTTGACAACAATTATTAAAAATATAAAATTATTTTAACTAAAAAATATTTTTAAAAAATTCGAACCAAATATACAATCAAAAGTTATTTTGAATCAGTAATTGAATATTTATTTTGAAAAAAAAATTATTGCCTTTGTAATATTTTCAATTAAAAAAATTGATTAATATTATTTTCTGTTAATAATTAATTTTTTTAATTGAATTTTAAAAAGAGTTTGCTTATTGATCAGAATTTTCGATAGAGTTTTGAGTAGTGTTTTTGGTTATGAGTTATAACAATTTGAATTAAGTTTTGAAAACTCTTTCCAAAATCCATAACTAAACAAATTTTCTTATTTCACATGTCACATCAAACATTAAAAACTCAGTTCAACATTCAACTCAAAACTCAATTCAAAATTCTTTTTAAGACTCATAACCAAACAAATTTTCTATATACAAATTTGTTTGGATTCAACGGTGGTGGCTGGGACCCAGCCCCGCCGACAGCCATGAAAATCATCTGTTGGAACTGCCGTGGGCTTGGGAACCCACGGACAGTTCGTTTTCTTCAGCTCTTGTTGAAGAAGGAAGTTCCCACTCTGGTTTTCCTGATGGAAACCAAACTTGATGCTAGAGCTATGGAGAGGATTCGTTGTAAACTTGGGTTGCAGGGGTGTTTTACAGTTGATCGTGTGGGGCTCCGGGAGGTTTAGCATTATTATGGATTGGTGACATTCAGCTACAGATTAAGAGTTTTTCAAGAGGCCATGTTGATTCAGTTATCCTTTCTGACTCTGGGATTGCTTCATGGCGTTTTACTGGGTTCTATGGAAACCCGATCGCTTCTCTACGGAATGATTCGTGGGAACTGTTGCGACGCCTTCAGGATCAGATGCATATGCCGTGGTTATGTGCGGGAGATTTCAATGAAATATTGTATGCCCATGAAAAATCTGGAATGGCGGAAAGAAGTCAAAGGCAGATGGCTGGCTTCCGCCAGGTCCTTTCTGACTGTGACTTAGCTGATTTGGGTTTTGAAGGGGCGGCTTTCACTTGGTGTAATGGTCGAGCGGGGGCTGGTTTGATCCGGGAACGTTTGGATAGATGTGTGGCCAATGAGAGGTGGTTAAATTCTTTTCCGATGGCTCGGGTCTACCATTTGGGAGGTACATCGTCTGACCATCTTCCTATATTGTTAGATCTGGAAGGGGTTAAAGCTCAGATGGCCCACAGGCCGAAATACCGAAAGTTGTATCGTTTTGAAGCAATGTGGTTGAGGGAGGAGGCTTGTGAAGGCATCATTACACGGGAATGGCACCAAGACAGTAATCTCTCTGGAGTTGAGCTGGTGTCTGGTAAATTGCGAGCTGTGGCTTCTCAATTGCAAGCTTGGAATTGGCAGGTTCTGGGTAATGTGCAACGTAAGCTGCATATAAAGTTGGCAGACATCCAACGGCTACAAGCTCTGCCGATTCTTAGTGCTATTGATTTGGAGGCGTTGCGTCATGCCCAATTAGAGGTGGATGAGCTCCTTGAAAAAGAATTAGTGATGTGGGCTCAAAGGGCTCGTACAAATTGGTTGAAGGATGGGGATAGAAACACTGCTTTCTTCCATGCGAAGGCTTCCCAACGGCAGAAGAAAAAGGCAATTTCAGGCCTGGAAAATGAAAGGGGTGAGTGGTGCTCGCGGCCAGCTGATTTGGAAGATATTGTGTTAGGCTATTTTCAAGACTTGTTTCACACTAATACTTCTCAAAATGTGGATGAGGTTGTTGACTGCATCAATACCTCTATACCTGCAGGCATGAGTCACCATTTGGATCGGCCTTTTGTGGCAGAAGAGGTTCGTCTAGCTTTGTTCCAGATGCACCCTACAAAGGCCCCTGGGCCTGATGGTACTCCAGCTCTTTTCTTTCAAAAATTCTGGGATTTGGTAAGCGGCGATGTGTGTCGGGCTGTTTTGGGAATTCTGAATAAGGGGCATGATGTTTCTATAATCAATAATACTTACACTGTTCTTATTCCAAAATTGAAACACCCACAGTTGCCGAGTCAATTTCGTCCTATAAGCCTGTGCAATGTAGTGTATAAACTAGTTTCGAAAGTCTTAGCTAATAGGCTTAAGGAGGTGTTGGCTACGGTCGTGTCAGTCAATCAGAGTGCTTTTGTTCCCGGACGGGCTATTACAGACAATGTTTTGACGGCGTTTGAAGTATTCCATTACCTTAAGAATAAAAGATTGGGAACCGGGTTTTTTGCTTTAAAGCTTGATATGAGTAAGGCTTACGACCGGGTGGAGTGAAGCTTTTTGGAGGCGGTTATGATTAAGATGGGTTTCCCATTCAAATTTGTTAGACTGGTGATGCATTGTGTCTCGAGTGTCTCTTATTCAGTGCTTCTAAATAGTAAACCCACACGTTGTTCTCGACCTTCGCGGGGCCTTCGGCAGGGTGATCCCATTTCCCCGTATCTGTTCTTACTGTGTGCTGAAGCTTTATCGGCTCTGATCCGGCGGGCTGAAGAAGAGGGTCGCCTTTCGGGTATCTCTATTTGTCGAGGAGGGCCGCAAATTTCCCATCTTTTTTTCGCTGATGATAGTTTGTTGTTTGCTAAAGCGAATGACCAGTCGTTGCATACCGTTCACGGTCTGCTACGGAAATATGAAGTGGCCTCTGGACAACGGGTGAATTTTGACAAATCCGGGATATGCTTCAGTCCGAATGTACGGCTGGAGGAACATGTTTCGCCTTTCAGCTCTAGTGGGTGTGGGGTAATTGGTGACTAGCGGGAGATACCTGGGGATGCCGTCTGTTGTGGGTCGGTCAAAGAAGGCAGTGTTTGGTTATATAAAGGATAAAGTGTGGCAACGTCTTAATGGTTGGAAGGAAAAGTGCTTATCGGCAGCAGGCCGAGAAATTCTTATTAAGGCAGTTGTTCAAGCTATCCCCACTTATATCATGTCCTGCTTTGAATTGCCAGATGGATTGTGCCGTGAGATTAGTGGCATGATTGCCCGATTCTGGTGGGGTCAACGTGAGGAAAGGCGCAAGATTCACTGGTGTAGTTGGCCAACCCTTTGTAAGGTGAAACCTGAAGGCGGGATGGGATTTCGATCTATTGTGGCCTTCAATAAAGCTTTGTTGGCTAAGCAATCTTGGAGACTCCTTCAATTCCCAAATAGTTTGGTGGCCCAGGTTCTGAAAGCCAAATATTACCCACAGTGCTCGATTCTTGATGCACCTCTGGGGGCCAGTCCGTCCTTTTCGTGGAGGAGTATTTGGAATGCGCGTTCTCTCTTGTTGGAAGGTTTACGGTGGCGCGTGGGCAATGGGGCTCAAATTCGCATTTGGCAGGACAAATGGGTTCCGCGGCCTTTTTCTTTCAAAATCTGCACCCCTCCTTCTCACCTGGACGTTAATGCTAAAGTCAGTGCTTTGATTGATCACGATGTGGGGAATTGGGATGAAGGAGTGCTTGGTGCTTGCTTCCCCCCCTCAGAGATTGAGATTATTAAATCGGTTCCTATATGTCCGTTGTTGGCAGAAGACATATTAGTATGGCATTATACAAAACAGGGTCAGTTTCGGTTAAATCGACATACCATATTGAGATGAGTATCCGTAGAAGATCTGAGCATGCTTCGTCGTCGAATGGTGGGCTGGCTCGGGCTAGCTTTTGGAAGAGTTTCTGGAATATGCGGATCCCCGGTAAGATTAAAGTTTTTGGCTGGAAACTGTGTTTGGAAATTTTGCCTGTGCGCTCTAACTTACGAACTCGTAAGGTTTTAACTATGGCGGATTGTGGCCTCTGTCATCAGGCTCCAGAACCCACTCACCACTGTTTTTTCGACTGCCCTTTTGCCAAAAAGGTGTGGGCATGCAGTAGTCTCGCGCTGGTTGTTCATCGGAAATGGTCTGGGACCTTGTTCGACTGGATTTCCGAGTTCATTTCATCTGTCGATTTAGTAACGGGGGAGTTGTTTTGGGTAATATGCTGGTGCATCTGGACACACCGCAACCAAGTGGTGTTCAATAACACGGTCCACACTGAGGTGGAGCTTGCTCGGTATGCATCTGACTATTATCAAGAGTTTTGCGCTGTCCAGACTCGTACTCAAGTGTCGCTGCACGTTCTCCTGCCAATTCGTTGGACTCCTCCAGCAGAAGGAATGGTTAAAGTTAATTTTGATGGGGCTTGCTCTACTGCTGATGGCTTTATTGGTGTTGGGATTGTGGCTCGGGACCATATGGGTGCTGTCATTGCTGCCATGTCAGCCAAACGGGGGTCAACGATGGCGGTGGATTGCATCGAGGCCTTTGCAGCGCTGGCTGCTATTCAATTCGCATTGGATCTGGGGCTCCACCACATAGTTCTTGAAGGTGACTCGATGATAATAGTTCGGGCCTTTTACTCCGCTTCGAAAATCCTTGGCTTCATTTGGGCATTTTGTGGAGCAGGCAAAATCTCTGCTGCCCAGATTCCATTCCTGGGCTGTTCAGCATGTGAAGAGGGAAGGAAATTCAGTAGCCCAGTGTCTCGCTCGAATGGCTTTTGCTATGGATAATTTTTCCATCTGGCTGGAGGATGTTCCGCCTTCTTTGCGCTCCCTCGTTAGAAGGGAGGCGCCTCTTTGATTTGTTTCTTTGTTCCTATTTTGGGCAATCTAAAAAAAAAATAAAAAATTCATAAATTCAAAATACAACTCTATTATCATATTATATTTAGAAAATTCTACCAGACGGTACCTTAAACTTAAATATGTTAATTAAAAGGTAATGGACTAAAATAACATTTGAAGAAAGTTAAAAATGCAATTTAAAAGTTAATGAATTATAAGTTTCTTTATTTACGGAAAAGGGTTCCATCTCTGCCTTTATATACTTTTTTCTCACTCTCTCCTCCTTCCCTGCAATTCTCTCTCTCTCGCCGACCGCCTCTCCTATATTGCGAGCTCTATATCGTAACGGGGCCCACTTTCCGGCGACTTCGATTCCCTCTGATCTCCGGCGATCCCTCCATTCCTTCGTCACAATCGGTACGTGAACTCTCTCTTCAAATCCTCTCTCTCTCTCTCTCTCTCTCGCTCTTCTTTTCGTGTTCACTAGGGTCACGTGCTGATCACAGATCACGTGACCTCAAACCCTAGCAACCTCATTCTTCTCTCGACTTTGTTTGATTTCCCAATCATATCAATCTCTTTTTAGTTCTGCAATTTTGTTTTTGATCTGGTAGTTCTCTTGAATCGTTTTGATCTGGGTTAGTGTTTGATTGTTTCGTTCTTTGATTGTTTGTGTACGAACTTGTACATTCTGTATCATGTTTGTTTAATCTTATGTAAGAGTTGTTGAATGGGCTTGTTTCTTGTATTGTATGTGATGAATTGGAAATAAATTTTTGTGGGCATTTTTTTTTGGCACAAGTTGGTGAATGTGGAATTGAATGGGCTTGTTGAGTTCATTTGCTCTTCTTTTTTCCTTGTTTAATTAAGAAAAATTCGATCTAATATTTGTTAGGTTTGTAGAATTGGGAGTTTGGTGTTTTGGCATTCACAATTAAAGTTTTTTTTTTTTGGCTATACTAAACTGGGTGTATTTGAATTCACATCATTATTGCAATTGCTTTAGTTTTATTTCCATTTCGGGTTTTCTTCTAAATAGGCTTACAATGTGACAGCAAATAGCATTGTCAAATGCATGCATAAACTCGTAAATCGGTACTTGCATTTTTATCCATCTATTCAGTACAAGTATATTTACGCATATGTATAGAGAGATGAGTATTGCAGCTAACTATTGGTCAGAGGGGCTGATTCTGAAAATGGGAGGTTGTGTTCCACTGAGTTTCTTGCAAACTATTTCTTGTTACCCAGCAGGGGTGGCCCCCCCTCATTTTGTAATTTTTTTTTAATTTTTTTATTATTATTTGGTTTGTATACATGTATATACATATTGGTCTTTTTTTGTTGAGGGGTTGACTGAACAACAAATGTTTCTCACCAAAAACATAGGATCTGCTTATAGGAGTATAGCCAGTTTCTCAGCATGTTAATTTGTGTGCCTGGAAGTTACAAAGATTTCCTTTGGAAAACTTTAAAAATTCTTTTTGTGAGGTTCCGTTGAATAACTTACGTTGAATTTTACTTTTGGATAAATGGTGCATTATAATAAATGTGGTTGTCGCTACATATTAAATTCTGACAGCATATTGACAGGTGCTTGACGTGGAACAAGTTGTGATTGGTAGTTGTATTAGTTTTCCATACAATCAATAAATCATGCATTGCATGATGTTTTATCCATTGTGCTGTCGTTCTGTTATGCGCTTTTCATTACTTAATATTAATTAATGCTCTACTGGCTTATCCAGTGAGTAACTGTATCTTACTTCATAATGGGTTAATTATTCTCCATCACCCATTGTCTTTTAATGTTTATGGGGCCAAATTTGAAGGTTGACTTTTCCGTTTCCAGTCTCCATGAGGTTGAGATTCTTGTGACATAAGTTAACTGAATCTCTTTTATGCTATTAATAAAATGATATGGAACAATGGATGTCTTGATAGTTTTTTTCCCCTCCTGGAAAATTGAAATGAGCATGTGGAGTTATTTCGGGAGTAATCTCTATGGAGTTACTATTTGTACCCCAATGCTTCAGTTTGTTGAGGTCTTACCAGCTGTTAGTCATGTTTCAAGTTTGTATTCTTATTTTTTTTTAAAATTCTTTGTATTTTTTTTTCTTTTTCCTGCAGTCCCATTTTCCAACCCAGAGGCTGGTATTGATGCCAGTTGTGAAACTAAGGCCCAGTGGCACCCCAGATGCTATGAAATCAGAGGGGAATGATTCTCTTGACACTTTTATCAAACAGGCAATAGGAAAGAGCCTCCCCTTTCTTTCTCAAGGACAGGAGACAACCCAGTGCAGTGGATCCAATTACTTCACGCCTTAGATCAGCAAGGTACTAGCAAAGTTTCTATTGGTCTTAAGTTTAACAACACTATAGAAGAGAGGGAGCATTCTCTAGAGCGTTGGAATGGCTTCAGTTATACAGCTGAGGTTAATGGGGCAAAGGTATCTGTTCACCATTTAAAAAGTGGTGGAAACCCCGTAAAGGGAACAAATGCCTTTGAACATATGCAGTCACTTAGAATCCCTGAGGCTGTTGTTGCCTTTGCTTAGGTGGCTGACTAAGGCCAATGGTGAGCCTGAAAAATTTATGTCAAATGTTTTAAGCAGGTATTTGGGGTTTTAGTTGGCACTAGGTTGGGCTTAATGTTGAAGATTCACGGCCTTCTATTTTTTAACAGATCTTCCAGGGTGGCCCTTGCTATCTCCATTGAAGATTCAGATGCAGAAGTGCGAAAAGTGTTCCCGGGAATTTTGTTCCCCGATCAACTATCGGAGACATAGTCGTGTGCACCGCCGATCTCTAAATGTTAATAAGGTTTCTTTCTGTTATGTGCTTCAATTTTTGTGATTATGTTTGCAGTTTTGTTTTGTTGATATTTTTCTTCTTTAGGCATGCTGAAATGCAATCATGTTTCCTTGGGTATCCTAATTGAAAGTTTTCTTTCAACGTTTTATAAATAATTCTTTCTCCCTATGCTGAATCTGATATAATATACATTTTATAGGAGTCTGATAAATATAGAGATCTATTGCGAGCATTTTGTGATAAGGTAACTATTTTTTTTAGTGTTTGTCTTTCTGCCGTTGGCATGGTGCTCATGTGGTTGTGTTTTATGCAGCTATCTTTGGACGAGGTTAAGGAAATTGTGTCACTCAAGGATGTGACTCTAGAGGTACTAACATGGCCCTTATCTCTTTTTTGTTTTTGTTTTTTTTGTGTTCATCTGATTGCATGCCTCTTGGGTTACAATGATACATTCTTCTAGCTTGTAACATTTTGGAAATGCATCAAGTTGATTGTATTGCCTTGTATATTTCTTAACCAATGACTTTCTCAAGTTGTTATTTAAGTGAAATTTGGGATTGTAGATGTGTGTTATGTCTTTGCAATACTTGAGGGGCTATTTTGGGCGTGCATGGCCTTCCTTGACACTCTCTCTATCTCTGTGTGTGTGCGTAGGCTGTGAAGGTCAATTTCTATAATTTTTAAACTTAGTGAAAAATCCTTTATGAAGTTATGCTTATTACAATTCGAGGCATTGCCTTAACCTGAATATTCCTTTATTGGCTTTATATTTTGTTTAAAAATTGAGCAACTAAAAGTGATCGGTTCAAATCTAGTAGCAAGCTAATGCTCCAATTTGTGTCAAATAGTGGCTTTAGTCCGGGTGTTGTACCTCAAGGACTAAGAGGTTGCATTGTGTTAATATAGTAATAGGTTCTCAAATTAATTCAGGAAAAGGAGTTTGTAAATTTTAATTGATTAAGCTAAAACTAAAATTGAAGTTGGAAGTGAAGCAACATTAAAAGCAAGTTGGTGTTCAAGAGTTGAGAGAGACTTAAGGATTCAAATCCACCACTAGTTTTATTAATATCGGGAATTGATTGATTAATTCGTTAGTGACTAGATATGACTAAAAGCTCTAACATGGTCTTCAAGAGGATTCATGAATTTAAGACTCACACATAACTCATTTTTGATAAGCATGAAGCGTCTACAAAGATTGTAGCATGACTCGTCTTCTAAGCATATGTTATTTGAATAGATGCACATAGATTACCATTGTATAACTTTGCATTTAAAATCACATAAATTAAATACATCAAACATGAAGTTGGACACCTCTATTTATATGTCTCCCATGAGTTAGGTCTAACAATCCTACTCAAAATCTGATTAAGGTACTTGAATTCGTGTCTATTCCCACTCGAACGGAGCTCCACTTGCACTTGAGCGGCCAAGGATGGTGGATTTATCTTTACGAGCTTTGATTTCCTGTGGAGAGTTCTGCTTGAGTGGGTGCCCACCTCCGCTCAAGCAAAAGAGGGCAATAGGATTTTCTCTGATTTCTTGCTTCAAGTTTTGCAGGGTCCAGTTCCGTGGCTCAGGCCACATTATTTTATAAGTCCCCTTAAGCTTTCAAGATCTCCAATGAGGCAGTTTAAGTGCAAAGACTTGAACACCTTGTAAATACAGAAAAGAACGTAAAAAAACATCAAGTAACATGGCCTAAATGTGTACTCTAAAGAGTGTAATCTGAAGTGCCTAAATGTGTAACATTTTGGCTCCTATCAAGAAGTCAAGGCAAGACTATTATTATGAAGCTAATAGATGTTTAATTATATGAAATCGGTGTATTTCTCATGATTTTAATCCATGGAGGGGGACATTAGGTTGGTTCACTAATACAAGACTCTGAAATATGTTTTGGTAATGGTAATATTCTAGCTCTTTTATTTGGTTTGTAAAAAACATCACACCTTTTTTTAAAGGATGTTTCTGAACTATTATGAATTCCTGAAAGTCTCTCTCCAACACACGCCCACACGCACATTCATGCACATGCACAAAGTGAGAGAATTACCATTCCTTCGTGCATTGTTTATTCTACCTTTTCTTAAGAGAATGCTTTACTTCAATTTTGTATTTGTAAATAATATTTTCTATCTGACAATACCTTTAGGAAGTTCCTGGGTCTTCAGTCATTCAGGCATTGACATCATTTATCCGGAAACCAGGATTTTGTGCTCTCCCGCAACTATATGTGAAGGCTGGGTCTGCACTTTTGGTAAGGGGAGCTCTACTGTTCTTTATTTTTATTTATTTATTTATTTATTAAACTTTATTTATTATATACATGTTTATAGTTGCCATTACCCCTTCACTCATTGGTATATTCTCTTACTCTCTATAACAATAATGATGTACTATTTGCAGGATATCATCCAAGCTAGACCTTCCAGGCTTCCTATATCCTCCCAGGAACTATTCGGCATCCTTGATGATGCAAGCGAGAGGACATTCTTATGTGCTGGTACAGCTGAATCAGTGCAAAGGTATGTTTTTGATGGGGAAGCTGGGAAAATTGGACTCGAGATGAAGAACTTGGTTGCTTGCACCAGCTTCCTTATTGAACAGAAATTGGTACATTTTTTCCTTGTATCATTATTTGTTGGTTGCGATATATAAATAAAGTAATTGTGTAAAAACTACTGTATTTTTTGTTCTTTTGTTTTTCTGCATCCACAATCAAACACACAAATGAGTGTGTGTGTGTGTGCGCGCGCACGCATGTTTTTGCTTGTGTGTGCATAACTTGAATGTGGTGTTAGCACACACATACTTGTGTAATATGGAAAGAGTAGTCTAAACGAGTGGCATTGTCAATGATTTTGAAGTTCTTTATCACCTCGGTGGCATTGATGGGATGTGTCCTTAAATATGCTTGATTTCTGCCTTAACTCCTTGGTTGCTCATTAATTTTTTTTTTCTTTCTTTTTTTTTACAATAACTGAGTTAGTATTCTTCGGTGCTCAGGTCAGAGCATGGTTTGCGGACAAGGACGCTGAAGCTTTGAGATGCCAGAAGTTGCTTGTGGAGGAGGAAGAAGCTGCTCAGAAAAGGTAATTCTGCCTATTGATACATAATTCGGACCACTTGCTTACTATATTATAAAGTGGGAGTTTTGTATGTTGTAGGATTTTAATTTATTATTTTGGCATAAGATCAAAGGTCCATAAACAAGTATAAACAACATTAGTAAGGACTTAAAAGGCTAAAGCAGTGATGTAGATAAGAAAAGTATAACAATATGTACTTCACTTGCATTTGAATTGTTACAGAATATGCATTTCTGTACAAGTTCAATTTGTATCTATGATGCTTCAATGTATCAATTTCTCTAGGTTAGAGCTGGAATGTTTTGGTTCTTTCCACCTTTTGTCTGGTAGTTATGACTTCTTGCCAACCCTCTTCAACTTTCTGATCTTAAAACTAGCAATCAACTGTTCTATATGATAAATACTTGTTAACGTCATCAAATTTATGCATTTATAGTTGGAAGTATTGGGTAAATTTAAAGTTTTCTTACTCTTGGTTTCATTTCTCCTTGGTAAGAGAGAAAAATATAGGAGGAAGGACAAATAATGAAAGTTATTATTATTATTATTATTACTATTAATATTTTTGGGTGTGTGTGGCTCATTTAAAAGGATAAGGGGTGTGACTAGTGTATGGAAACCCTTCCTAGGAATGACCATAGTAGTAGGGAGCTGGACAGGACGGACTTAGATGGGCCTGCAGATGGGGGGATCCTCAAGCACTCCCTCATTAAGGCCCAAAGGGTTGGGAACTCCTTCAATTGTGGAATGAACATGCTTCGAAAATTTTGGCTTGTGATTTTGCTCATTTGGAAACAAATTTAATCAAAGAAAGTTGGTCCTTCTATTACAAATTTTATTTTTTGAATTTTTATAGGCAAGCTGAGCTGTTGGAAAGGAAAAGGCAGAAGAAGCTAAGGCAGAAGGAACAGAAACTCAAAGAGCAAGTGAACGGGGAGACGGAAGATTTAAAGGTCCCTGCCAATACATTGAACAGTTCACCTTCTGCAGAATCATCTAGTTCAAACACCCTAGAGACACTGACGGATCACGTTCCCTCACTTCTTGAACCTATCCAATCCTCAATCACTGAAGAAGATGCTGATACTGAAACTCAAAATGGATTCAGCAGTGAGCAGTCTGATTCAGGCACTTACTCAAATGTCGAACGCCAAACAGCGCACAGAAGTGGTCGTAGGATTTTAGTTATTTCTCGATGGCAGGTGCCAAAATCACAAAGGGGTGGACGAAATGGCTTTCATGCAAATCAGAATCCTCAAGTTTTGAAAACTGAACCTGTGCAGAAGCATGGTGCACCTAGGGAAGCAAGGTCTGCTCAAGTAATCAACGGCAATAAAATTTGGACCCGGAAGCCAAAATCAGAGAATGATGGGGAGAATTTGAAATCTAGATTACAGAAAGAGGCAGTAAACCAAGCAGATCAAAATTGTGAGGTGATGATTGGTTCTATATCGGTGACATTGGGGAGCTGTACTGCTCAGCAGCCAAGTGACAGCCTGGGTGAGCATGCAATGTCAAAGTACAGTGGTGATGAGAAGACCGTAAAATCTGATTCTGTTCAGGGTGTTTCAAATCGATCCGTGGTTAAGCTTTGGAGGCCAGTGAGTCGGCATGAAACCAGAGATCCAACGCCAGTTCAAAGTGACAGTGGAGAATCTAGAGAGGACATAATAATACGAAAAGGCAATTATCAACCGGTGTCTAGTGAAAGCTGTCTAAGGTCTTATGCTTTGGATGGTAATGGTAATGAGAGCGAGGACAACAATTCTCACCCACTCGTGGAAGAAAGTGTTCAGCCAGAAGACTGTCCCTTTTCAAGCCATGCTGCAAAAGCTTTTCTTGCATATAGTATGTTTTTCTTCGTCTCATTTCAATCTCTCTCTAAAATATTTTCAACTTCATAATGAACTTTGTTCCATTCACTCCTGTCTGATTGGCTGTGATTTCCATGTAGGGTGGAAGGAGGCTATTGCAGCAGATCATGTGAAATTGGTCCTAGCCCCAGAATCCGAACCTCCAGGATGCCCTGACACTGAAAATGACTATCAAGTAGTAATACCATCATCAGATGATCACGGACGTCACGTTCTTGGCAATGCAGAGAACCTGCTGGACAGCACGGTGGCTTTGGAGTCTATGACAACCGGAACAGTTAAAGCCAAGTTCAGAACAAAGCCGGAAAAGGGTATAAAGATAAAGTACATCCCCAAACAGAAACAGTTAACTGAGGGAAAGTGAACAAGATAGTGAAGTTGGTTATGTTAAAACCTGATGTGCATTACACCCATCTCCTCCATTACATTCTTAGCTCAGAGGTTCCAGTTTTTACCAGATGGTCTTCTGTTGGAAAATTTGAAGAAAGGTTTTGCCGGAAAATATTTTACAGTTCCATCCTTTTTCTTATCTGGGATTGTCTCAAGATTTTGGTTAGTGAGTTTTTTTTGTTTTTTGGGTCTCAATTGTTTAAAATTCTGTAATAAATTGGGGTTTTAGTGTCATTGCAGAGTTACATTTTGTGCGTTTAATTTTGGCCATTTTTCATCTCTTGTGCTCTGTGTTTTGTGAATGGAACAGTACATAATGGAACTAAAGGTTTTTGGCCCCTTGAGACAATTGTATATGTAATTCCCCCCTTTGCTTCTTGTTAGGATAATTGATTTCACAGAGGAGAACAGGCTATTCAACAGGGAGATTCTGAAATCGCAGTCGACTATAATACCTTACTCTGTTAGTTATATTGAAGCACATAATTGCTTGTGCTATTTCTGTAAATCACCAACAAATGACTTGAAGGGAAGCAAGCTACTCAAACTTCAATCATATCACAGGGGCGGAGGGAGATTGGGCTCAGGGGGGTCGAGTCCGGATCTTCGGCCGCACAACCCTACGGCACCCCCAAAACGACGTCGTTTTGGGGGAAATTTCAAATTAAAAAAAAAAAAAAAAACAAAAACCAGAGGGGGAAGAAGAGAGAGAGAGGACGGCCGGCTACATCTCCCTCTCACCCTTTCTTCCTCTTTAACCCTCTCACCCTTTTTTTCTCTTTAACCCATTTTTCTTCAGACCATCAATAGAAAACCCATCAAAATTCCAAGAAAATCAAAACCCATCTCCAAACAGCCATAGCACCAACAGTACAAGCAGTAGCAGCAGCAGCAATGGCCTAGATCTATTTTTTTCAGTTTCATCTAATACTCTTTCATCTGTGTTTAGCCCTAACACATAAAATGAACAGATAGACGCGAGACAAAGAGAGAGGCGCCAACGCATCACATACTCAACAACACCACAACTCACCACTCTCTCTCTCTCTCTCTCTCTTCACAAAACCCATTTTCTGGGTCTCTTTCAATTTTATTTAAATTTTTTCATTTCTTGGTTCTTTTTATTTTTTGGGGATTTTTTCCATCTCTGTTTTTTAAGTTTATTGTGAAGTTTGTGATTTGTCTGAACAAGAATTATACCACACAATCCATCAAGCGGTGGAGGATCTTCTCCCTCTTTTTTTTTTTTTTTTTTTTTTTTGCGATCGATTTCCGGTTCCAGAACTTTCGGGGATTTCAGGTGCTGTGCTCAATCTTCTTGTTCATCTTTGGAGCTTCAGAAAACCCAAGAAATCAAACACATGAGAAATCAAACCCAGATCGCCTCTGGTCCCCCAAAACGACGTCGTTTTGGGGGTGTCGCAGGGATGGTCGCACGTTGTGCGGCCGAGGATCCGGACTGCAGGGGGGTCACCCCTGACTTTTGAAATTAAATTTTTTTTTTTTTAAAATTTTAAGTGTGGTCTGCCTTTCACTTTCACACACACGTTCAAACCTACTGACACACACATACACCACACTGACACATACACACACACCACACGCTAGACGCACCCACGTTTGTATTTTTATTTTATTTTAATTTTTTAGGAATCCTAATTCCAATCAAATACTGATATATAACTTTTTTTTAGGTAAGTGCACACAACTCCAATTACAATAAGGTTAAAACTCTAAAACCCTATGAATATATGAAATTCTTTATTTTTTTATTTATTCACAGTACTTGTGAAGTATCTTCATATTTTCTTTGTCTTCTTTGTCTCCCTTTGTTGTTTTGCAATTTACCGACTCGCGATTTACCAAATTAGGATCACACAACACAAATTTGGGACCACACTACAACTTTGGTATTTTCTCTTCAATGTTTAGAGGTAACTTTATTATTATTATTTTTAACTTTTAAATAAAAATTATGAGTATTAATTTATAATTATTTGTTAAGTTTTAATTTGTAAATTTTTTTATTTGTTATTATTTATGTTAAAATAAGAAATTTTGATATGCTAAAATTATGAATCTTAATTGGTGGTGATTTATATTAAAATTAGGGATTTTGGTTTGTTGTTGTTTGTGCTAAAATTAGGGATTTGATTTGTGCTAAAATTAAAAATATTAATTTGCAGTGATTAATATTTAAATTAGGGATTTTGATTTGTTATAATTTGTGCTAAAATTAAAAATTTTGATTTGTTGTGATTTGTGCTAATTTAAATTTTTTGATTTGTATTAAAATTGAAGATTTTGATTTGTGGGGGTTTGAGATTTTGATTATGAATTTTGATTTTGATTTTGATTTTTTTCAAACAATCATGGAGAAATATTTCAAAAGAAAATCAAAGTGGGAATCATCTTAGTTGACCTTCCTGTAGATCCAGGACTACGGCCTCGGATTATGGACAATAATGCTAATGATCAAGACCGAATTCGTAGGGCATATCTACAAAAAGGTCCTTCTCAATCTCGTGATCATAATTTTCTACAAAAATCATTTGGACAAAAACTTCGAAGATTTAATCAGGCTTGGTTTAGTGAATTTTCTAATTGGTTGGAGTATAATGTAGCAAAAGATGCAGCATTTTGTTTATGTTGTTATCTTTTCAAACCCGATATTGGAGATCAATCTGGTGGTGATTCTTTTGTTGGTGAGGGTTTCTCAAATTGGAAGAAAAAAGAAAAAATTCAGACTCATGTTGGAGGTCCCAATAGTGCTCATAATCAATCTTCGAGTAACTGTCAAGACCTGTTAAACCAAAACCAACATATTGAAATGATTTTTTTCAAACAATCTGATCAAACTCGAATTGAGTATCGAACTCGTTTGAATGCATCGGTTGATTGTGTTAAATTTCTTCTAAGACAAAGACTTGCGTTTCGTGGGCATGATGAATCTGAAAATTCAATGAAGATGTCAAAATGGTTGCATTATAGCGATTCCGGGTTTTACCCCTTTGTTGTACAGTGATCCGGACTTGGTTCCGTGGATGTTAGCAGTTGTTTATATCTTGTTCACATTCTTTCGTACTTTGTATTTGAGTTATAGGATGTATTGGGCGTGTTCTGAACAGGCAGGTTGAGTTTTGGTCTCTAGTGTAGTTGCCCAGGTTTTTAGTGTTACGCTCGAGCGGAGTTTGGTTTTTGGTTGTCCGCTCGAACGAGCCTTCTTGCGCTCGAGCCGGATTTACACACTCCCAGTATCTCGTGTCCCTGCAAAACTTCTGCAGGTGTGTTTTTCACACTCGAGCGGGTCGCGCTCGCTCGAGCGGGTATGTTGGCGCTCGAGCGAGTAGTGCTTTGTCTGTGAAAGTTCTGGGAGGGGGAAATCTACGCTCGAGTGGACTAGTTTTCGCGTTCGAGTGAATGTATTTTATTCTTGTGTCTTGGAGCTCGAGCGGGCTTTCTTGCGCTCGAGCTTGTCCAGATTTTTGTGCTTGACGCTCGAGCGTTCTATTCTCCGCTCGAGCGAAAGTGTCGTATAACAGTGGGCAGCTGGGCATTTTTGAATCACTTTTTACATTCACTCTCTCTCTCTTACTTTCTAAAAACACTTTTCAGAGCCTCTCTCTCTAGGATTTCCCTTCTCTTTAGGGTTTGATCTAGTTAGAGTGTTCTTCTATCCTTCGGCCTTTGTAAAAAGCGTGTTGATCGTCGAGGGCTTCGTTTTGATCCGAAAAGTTTAGAGTTTGGAACACTATGGTTTTGGTCTTCCTCCCCATTTGAGCTCTAACTTCGAGGTAGGAATATCCTACTCCTCCTTATGAGCTTTGTCTTTAAATTTTAATATTGTGATATGTTGGGGATTGTTGGGTAATTTTGAGAAAGTTTGGGTCTTTGTGTAATTTTACAAAAGATGAGATTTTATTTATATAAGCCTATATGCATGTTTAGCATGGAGAAACGAGATAAATGTTGGGTTATTGATAGAAATGGAACCTTAGGGTTGTTTTGTTAATTATGGGAAATGCCCTAATTACATTGATGAATTAATTTGTGAAATTAATTTTGAGAAATGAGAAGTTGACTTGAAAATGTTGAAATTGGGAACATATGGGATTAAAGGGTGTAGTTGGATCATTTATCACTCACCTAGTTGAAATGTTGATATTTTATCCATTTGGTGCATTTATTTTCTGTTTAGAAATAACTGCTTTGGGCTATCGGTGGAGGATAGTCTTGATTGTTGTAGACAATGCATGATGATTAGGCAAACTAAAACTAATCGATTGGGTATGCTATCGAGTATAGCGGTTGGAATAATACATTAACTTTATGTATTGATTGATTGTGTATATGATCTATGTTTATATACATTGTGTGTGTAAGGAGATAGGGGATGTACTCCACGGTTTAAGGGAAGATAGGGGATGGACCTCTAAACCGGATTTCGTGTGACATTGATACAGCACTACAATGTGTATCAAGTTTGGATTATGGAAGTGTTTGAATTGATTTGATATAGCACTAAAATGTATATCGTTATCAATTGTGAAGTATAGAAGCGTTTCTATGTGTTATTGATACAGCACCAAAATGTCCATCATGAATTTCGAAAGTGTTTTAAAGATGAGTCTAAATCTCATTAAGTTATTTGGTTAGGTTCTAAGCCTTGTTTTCAAACTCAAAGTTGAATAAGAAATGGAAACTGAAGTGTGCCATGGGCATGATTGTCATAAAACTGTAATACGACATACGTTGGAATACAAGGGTGGACCATCTATTGAATGCTATTATTTTAGTCATTGTTTATAGTTGGTTTAGTATATTTCTACTGGGCTGTGGCTCACCCTTTATGGGACATCATTTTTAGGTATAGATAGCATGCCACCTCCAAGGACGTAGCTTAGGAGGCTAGAGACAGGCAGACTGTTTCTGTTGTTTTGTTTTCTTTTGATGTATTACATGTATATCAAGCCAAAAGCTTTCTTTGTATAGAGTTAGTACTCTTTTTTTTTGTAACCAAGTGTTGACTTGGAAAGTTGTAAGCCCATAGGGCATTTACTTTCGTTGTCAACATGTAATACATTTTGTAATGATTGCTCTGAGGGAATATACTTATGCTTTATTTTCTTGTGTCTAAGCATGCTATTGTTGGATGATATATGGGTTTTTTTTTTTGAGAGCGTTACAACTTGGTATCAGAGCTTACCGAGTTCGAATACCTCGGGTATGTGGGAAGTGATTAGTATCACAATGGGTTTGTCTCACTGGTTAGAGACTTATGTGTGACATTTTGTGTTTATTTCATAACATGTTTATGTGACTACTTGGGTATGGGATTTAGTTTCCAGG